ATGAAGGCTGCACACTTTTGGAACGTGTTTAAGATGCCTTACCCATTTTATTTTTGCTCAAAACACTTTTATGTATAATTGTTTTATGTTTATCCCAAACCAAGATTTGAAACATATATAAATATAAAACATATATAAATATAAATTATACATTTTTAAAATGATGATAATCTAAACCTAATCTAAAACCTAAAGACTCAAATAAACAAACAATTTACACACTATACACACATTTTTAATGTAATTTTTTTTATTTATTTTTTTTATGTGAAGGTCACACTCTCATGAAAAGTGTTTAACATGCCTTCACCATTTTATTTTTGCTTAAAAGGTTTTTATGCATTTTTTTATATTTGTCCCAGACCAAGATTTTATTTATTTATTTTTTTTTTTTGACATTTGTCCCAGACCCAGATTTTCAATCTTAATCTTATAACATATATAAATATAATATATAAATATAAATTATTACATTTTAAAATGATGATAATCTAAACAAAGAGTCAAATAAACATAAACAGTGTATTTTATTTTTGGTTTTTATTTTGTTTTTTGCATTGTGACATTTATTATAAGTGAACACATTTTGCCCTAAATTCTCATTACTCCTCTTATACTTGTCTCATATCTTGATTTCCATTTTTACTTAAATTATGATTGACATCCTTCGCAACCCTTCATTTCAAGTCAGTGTACTTGGTTGCCAAGGTGACAGTAGCGTCAGTGAAGAGCATGATACATATGTGAAGGAAATCAAGGTGTGTGTATGTGTGTGTGTGTGTGTGTGTGTGTGTGTATATATATATATATATATAATTAACACTTAATTTCGAAGTTATGCAAAAAAAAATGTTCATGGCTTTCAGAAATAACAGATGCCATTATTCTTCTGTGATGCATGTATATTTGCTGTTAGCAGACAAATCAAATTAACTAGTGTGAGTGTGTAAAGTATGAATTTATTTTCTAAGAGAGCCATAAGTGCTGTAGTTGAAGAAAGATCTCAGTATGAAATGAAACAGAATAAAAGAGGGGCAAACAGAGAAGCATCAGAGGACTGAAGGAGGGGTTAATTCTCTTATCTAAATTCTGAGCTGTGGAGGATTAATGTGGGCCGTTATGGAAAGAGGTTGTGGCTCTATTTTGGAGGAGGCTGATCAGAGCGAAAGAGGGAGTGAGACAGAGAGAGGTGACCTTCAGCGTTCTCCATAGTCTTTACAATAATGATGTCTGCTGGGATTTCTCATCTCCACTCAACAAGATGCCCCCATCGGCATCAAGGTTAAAACAATTTCAATAGACTCTGCATCTGACACGTGCGGCCTGAAATTGTGTGTAAGTTTTGCTCTTGGTGTGTAATGTTTGATATTGTGTTGTTGAAAGAGGAAACTTTTTTTGTACATGCCAAGTGAGATTTTAAAGTGAGAATGGGCTGAACATTAGTTCATTAATGCAGTATTAATTCGGAGTCCTTCAGGAAATCTACAAATATAGATATATTTATAAGTGTTTTTTTTTTTTAAATCAAGTTGTTTTACTGTTGATATGGGACTGACTGTCTGTCCATTGCACATCGTATTCAACTCCTCTGGTTTCTTCCTGACAGGCAGGTGTCTTCCTGAGTTCGGCTGACCTTAACCTGTTGTTTTGAAATAGTAATTCTACAGGCCACTGGACTGTGAAAGCATTTGGTCGTCCTGTTGGGAGTCCGAGCTTTGTGTTCGACACGTCCGTCTTAATCAGCTCAGCCTGTGCCGACTGTTGACCAAGCAGTAGCGGTCATCAGCTCCACACTGCTGTCTTTGCATTTCAATGGGTCAAGTGCTAATGCAACAGGAGGGTGGATGTGCTGTTTTTTGCGTGTTGGGGTTAGGGGAGTGTAAAATATGATGAATAGCAATAAGCTGTTCAGCTCTGCAATCAGCAGCAGCTTAAAGCTGGAATAAAGGCTGACGCATTGACGAACGGAGAATATGGTGCATGAATAAACTCTTTTTAGACTGTTTTCCATCGAGCATTGATTCAAGTTGCAGTTTGCATTATTTATTGTCTTGCATTTTGGAGACAATAGTTAGGCTTTTTGCTTTTTTAGGGTATTTTTTGACGGTGAGATCTGATTGACTCTCTGTTTGGTCTGATCAGAGTGAATTATTGTGCCCTTGAGATGAGCTTCCTGTGAAAGGGAATCTTAAAGCAGGAGTCGGTGGTGATTCATCACTGTTCCCAAGTTCTATTACACATATAAAAATCCCCTTTCATCACGTCTCTGTTGGCCCTTCAACGGTATCACACAAGATTAATTAATATTGTAAATCTGCTTTTATTGCCATTTTAAACAGGCGGATTCATAGAGATGTACCCGGCCACTTTTCTCTTTTGATCAAACACAAAGAAAGAGCAAAGACAGGAAGTGAAGGAACAAGGAAGACTTTTCTCTCTGACATGAATTATGATTATGTATGAGTCAGCTAATGTCTAGCCAGACTTTTTGCACTTTTTGTTCTTTTTCTACAAAGCTTGCTGGTCATTGTGGTCACTTGAATAGAAGTTGTAAGCTTTGCCAGCACACTAAAAGTGTCAAAAATACTCACTTTTAAAAATATTTATGCCTGTCAGAGAAACCATTGAGGGGAAATGGTCTCGATAGACAGAAGAGAAAGAGATTTTGCTTTATAAAAGGCTTGAGCAACAATGAACACCTTTAGAGAAGTGAAAAGCTACCATTTAAGTGACACCTTAAAATTATCTGAGGTATCTGTCTTCTTCTAAAGACATGTTGAGGAACCAAAATGTGGAAATTGGTTGAACCTTTCCATGATACTCAATGCTATATTGCCTATTTTGGTTCATTTCAGATGTCGGGATATGTTTGGAGAGATCCAGTATTCAAGTTAAATGATGTTCATATTATATACAATGAGAAAATTAGATTTTATGCTGGTATTCAGAGCTACTGGGCTAGAGATCTATTTTAAAAGGATCCAAAAATGAAAATGTTTTTCCCAATCCATATCACTTTCTGTCAGCCTGATTGTACAGGTTGTTCTTTTCCATGCAATTTCAATGAATGATGGCTGGGGCTTTAAAACTTCAAAAAGGACCCAAAAGCAGCATAAAAGTGTTCCATATGCAAGTCTTCTGATATATGATAGCTTTGTGTAAGGCACAGACCAAATTTAAGTTGTTTTTCACTGTTAAACTTGGCGTAACCTCTGAGAATGAATCAGTCTTGTTTAGTCAGTCGTTGCGTCAAAAAGCTTAGGCTGCTGACTTGTTGCCTCACTGCCTTATTAGGCAATGACTTTGCACACACGAAAGCACCTCACAAAACTGATTTTGGACATGCTTCTGTGGCAGCGTAACGGTTTAATGATCTACAACAAAATAGAACAAACTTTGATGATAACTAATTGAACATTTAATTACTATAACACTGATTTCTCTCTAGAAATAACATCAAAAAGTACAAAAAGTTGGTCAGAAACACATTTACACACAAACATCCACCACGTGCAACTTTCAGACGTCATCTTTATTTTTTTTAAGCTCAACCATCATGGAATCGAACGCACAGGATTGTGGGATATCAAAGGCAGCGAAGGATACATATATGCTGCCTTCAAAACTCGATCAGATGAAGGGGTATCAGGAGTCAGGAAGTGAAGCTGACATTGGATTCGGATGTGCCATGATGCCTTCCTACCTTGGAATGCATCCCCCGAAGGCAGCATTTTTCAGCTTTCGGACGCAGCCACCGTGTTAAACTAGAGATCCAAATTAGTCTGATTCATGAATGGATCCATTCAGGCCATCAGAATCATTTTTTGAGCTTGATCAAACAATTCATTTACAAGAACTCAGAAGAATGATTCATTCACAAAAGTTCTCATACAGATCTATTGTATGGCTTTAGAAGACTTGGAAAATAGTTGTTGACTTCTTCATAGTGCACTTCTTTATTAATCTTTTTAGTGTACGAGTCAATTGAACCACTTTTGTGGTGTCATTTTGGAGCATGACAGTTCAGTTCTCATTCACTTTCATTGTATGTACTGTATGAATGTTACATGATTTTCATAGTACAGGCAATAAGAAAATGAAATTTTATGCTGGTATTCAGAGCTGTTGGACTAGATATCTATTTTAAAAGAATATTTCACCCAAAAAATCAAAATGTTGTTTCCCATTCATATGATTTCTGTGTTATTCTTGATTGTACAGATTGTTCTTTTCCATGAAATTACAATGAATGATGATTGGGGCTTTCAAACATAAAAAAGGACCCAAAAAAGCACCATAAAAGTGGTCCAAAAGTGGCCTTCTGATGCATGACAGTTTTGTGTAATGCACAGTCACAATTGACGTTGTTTTTCAGTGTTAAACTAGGGGAAACATCTGAAGCTGAATCAGTGAGTCAGTCCGATTCATAAAGGAATAATTTGTCCATGTTTTGTAAACTCATAGAACTCAAAGACTCATAAATAAAATAAAATAAAATATTCCTCATGAAAATCTATTGTATGGCTTCAGAGGACTCTGAACATAGTTGTCGAGTCAAATGAATCAATTTTATAGCGCACACATCAAATGAACCAATTTTGTGGAGCCATTTTGGAGCTTGACTGCCACACATTTCATTCACTTTCATTGTATTGATTTACAAATTACCTTTGTGTTCCACACAAAAAAGAAAGTTACACAGGTATGGAATGACATGAGGTTGAGTAAACAATGGCAGTGTTCATTTTTGTGTGAACTGTTCCTTTAAATGTTAAATTTCACCAAAAGCCATCCATGTTTATTTCCCTCCATGATTGCTTTGGCAATGACTCTCAGACTGGTACATAACAATGCACTCAAAAATAGGCTAATTTTAAGGGATAATAAACCTTCATGTTGAAGTTTATATAACAAGATTTTACTACTGATATCTTTATTTTTAATGTCATGCTTTCTGAAATGTGTGTGTGTGTGTGTGTGTGTGTGTGTGTCCTCCACAGGTCAGTTGGCAGTAGGCACATGTGAGATAGTGATGTTGAATAGAGACAGCAGTCAACCCAAGCGCACTATCGCCAGGCAGACAGCCCGCTGTGCCTGCCGGAGAGGACAGATCGCTGGCACCACACGGGCCCGACCAGCATGCGTGGACGGTGAGAAGCATCCCACACACACACACATTCTCACATTGTGTGGATGTGCACACACATATATCCTCTCACAGCATGCAACAAGCCACGTCATGTTGTTCGACTTCACTGTTGAATTTGCATTGCACAGTTTTTTTTGTCTCGTGTCAAAATCTTGTATCACACAATATAACACAATAGTCAGACTTGCTGCATGTAAAGAAATGTTCCTCTCTGCGGTTTGTGCTGTGTCAAAGAAAGTCGAGGACGGATGAGGGATCGGTGAAAAGGGAAAGAAAAAAATGTAATCTTTGGATTGTGTCTGTCACTGTGGTTTAGGAGGAATATTTGAGCCTGTCTGTTCTGCCGAGTACCAGATGTGGCTGAGTATCTCATGGGCTTTCAGCCTTTCTTAGGTTGTAAACCTGAATATGATGGTAGTCGTTTTTTCTGTAGCAAATAAACCCAATTCTCCTGACAGCTGGGGTCGTGTATTTAGTTTTTTCAGTGCAATGGTGTTTTTTGGTAAATGCTACAGCTTGAGCTCTTCGACGACACATTAGTAGCACTTTGTAACGGCAAGACCAGAGTAATTAACCAAGAGAGTACCATAATTACAGCTGTGGGAAATTGATTTTTTTTGGCTTTCTCTGCTGCCTTCATGCTCCATTAGTAGTGGATCCATTAAAGAAGGACTTGTTGCATGAACACACACACAAATGCTATAGAATTACAGGCTACCCCATGACTGCTGTACAGAGACCATTAAAGTTTCAAAGAATGTAGAAATTACATTAAAGATCCATCCATCCATCAGCATCTATTACTACTTCTCATTCAGGCCTTGTATCTGCTGCATTATAGAGCTCACCTGAAGGATTCTGACATTTAAAATTCCAAAATTTCCATGACGAAATAGATTTTTAGTGTAAACTTATGAATGTTTTATTGGTACAACTACATAAGCTCTGAGGTTAAGCGTCAGGATATACTTCTGTACAATGATCCATAATAATAATTTAATTTCAACTTCAACTTCAACATAAGAATAATTTCAACTTCATTTACATTTATATTTAAAAAATAACAAAATAATCAAAAATAAACATATATAATATCATAAAATACATATAATAGATATACATTTTGTGCATACACACACACACATATACATACATACAGTTGTGGTCAAAATTTTACATACACTTTGCAGTATCTGTAAAATGTAAATTATTTTACCGAAATAAGGGGGATCTGACCTGACCTTAGAACTGACCTGAATAACATATTTCAAATAAAAGACGTTTACATATAGTCCACAAGAGAAAATAACAGTTGAAATTTATAAAAATGACCCCGTTCAAAAGTTTGCTTGATTCTTAATACTGTTGTTACCTGGATGATCCACAGCGGGTTTTTTTTTTTGATAGTTGTTTATGAGTCCCTTGTTTGCCCTGAACAGTTAAACTGCCCGCTGTTCTTCAGAAAAATCCTTCAGGTCCCACAATTTTTTTGGTTTTCCAGCATCTTTTGTGTATTTGAACCCTTTCCAACAATGACTGTATGATTTTGAGATCCATCTTTTCACACTGAGGACAACTGAGGGACTCATACACAACTATTACAGAAGGTTCAAACGCTCACTGATGCTCCAGAAGGAAAAACGACTTTTCAAAGTCATACAGTCATTGTTGGAAAGGGATCAAATGCTCAAAAGATGCTGAAAAAAAGCAAAAAAGCAACAAAAAAAAGAATCAAGCGTATATATGTAAACTTTTGAATGGGTCATTTTTGTAAATGTAACTATTATTTTCTCTGTGTGTATATATGTAATATATATATACAGTGGGTACGGAAAGTATTCAGACCCCCTTAAATTTTTCACTCTTTGTTATATTGCAGCCATTTGCTAAAATCATTTAAGTTAATTTTTTTTCCTCATTAAT